AACTTCGCGCACATATTTTACATCAGAGTTCCAACCATTTCCCGCTGCCTCCATGCTGTGAATGTCGCATTCAGTTGCTCAGATCTTCACGTTTGTAGTACCGATTTCATCTTCAGTCTCAGCATGATGGTCTACTTCATTTTGCCACTTCAGTTGTGGAGGTAATTTTGATGAAGTTACATTTGGTAATGAGCAATCATCCGTAATAAAATTGTCGACACTGTCACCTGCCGCCCCGGGCGGACCGACCCTTCCCCCCGGAACCCTTTTGCCACGCTTCTGAAACAGGGCCATTCAATCTCTAAGTCGATGTTTTTGTGACATTTGAAATGTTATGCCAGTGTTGCATTATTTTTCATGCTGTGTACAGGTTGTAACAGAAGCAGCATTGAGCAGCGTCATCAGCAGATGAAAGGCATATTTATGCGCTAACTTTAAGCAGGCAAAATAGTCCTTATGTTGGTAGCGTGCGGCATGGTAATACATCAACTACGCCATATCTATGTATCGTTCATTGCTTCTCGATGCGCGGCAGCTATAAAGTCAAACGTACTTGACATTTGTGAAAATGGCTCTACTTTTTGGCTCGGCTACATGAGTGGCAAATGAGGCCTTGTTTCCTACGCCAATGCGCCAATGGTCTCACTGTTACCATCAAGCCATCCAAGCCGATAACTTTTTGCGTACGAGGCAGCAGCCGTCACCAGTCCTTCGGATATGGTGCCACTGCGCTCCGAATAAGACAATGCAGACAGCATCTCCAAGACGATTATCCACCAAATTCTCAAGCTCCATCCTCTTCTCACTAGTATGTAGGGAATGAAAATAAATTTGCACAAAGTAACAATTGAGAAATATACAGATTTACGGGAAAATGTATACACTTTGGTTTGCACCAACCGTGGATCAGTGCCACCGATCCGTACAGTGTACATATTACGGGCAAGTAACATACGTCGCATCATCATCAGCATCTTTGTACACGTTAGCTGGAGGTGGGAAACACCTCAGCTACTCTACAGCGATTAAAAAATAGTTAGGAGCGGAAAACTGCAACAGATATAAGGCAGCAGAGCTATCGGCAACGGATGGGCATCGTTCGGGTAAACTACCAGCAAGGTACTATGCGATAAAGAACATTTAATATGCAAAACTAATTAGGGCTAAGTAGTAATATATTGCTTGAAGGGGGAGATTAAGAGGGATTAGACGGACAAAGAAACTTACAACACGAACGCCATTGAAGTTAGCTCCTAGACATATCAGCAATTGTATCAATCCAAACGTGTGCATCGTCTTTCGGACTCCAACCATGTAGACGAGACAATCCAACCGAGGGCCGTTTCGAAGTGAGGGCCTTCATTCCTCTCGGCCAAGCAATCATTTGGCCACTCCTCCTCTTCTTCCATCCACACCCCATGCGCGCAAAACAAAGCATGTCCCGGGAGTCGGTGGGCTGGCATGCGTAACACGTAGCCCAGCCATCGGAGCCTGGTGCGCAAAATGACCGTGCTAAGCCGTTACTTTCCTTTCCCTGTACCGTAAACAATGCGTCGAGTACGCTGGTTGCTCCATGGATGTTCCCAGCAGATATGTGCCAAATTGCGAAAGAACCGGTAGTCGAACATAAGTAGCCTCTCTGTGTCCGCTGATCTAAGGGATCAGGTTTCACAACCGTACAGTAGGGGCAAACATACCGCTGCATTGTACACTCTACCCTTCAAGGCGAGAGTGAAGTCGCGCGGGCGCCATAGGTGGCGTGGGTTAGAAAAAGTGCCTCGAGATTAGCCATACGGTTCGTGATATCTTCAATTCCACGGGCGCTGATATAACTACCCAGGTAGTCGAATGTTTGGAGGACCTCTAGCTGATCCCCACCAAGGGTCAGAACAAGTGGCGGTCCAGGCCAAGCTTGGAAAAATTTTTGCACTGCGGGGGTGCAAGGCATGGCCTGTAGGGACGGACGGGCAGTGTTAATCTATCCAGTGCAGCTTAGCACGTTTGTGATCTGCCACAAATTAGGGTATATTCGTCAGCATGGTCCAAGTCAAGAATTCGTTCACCTGGAAGTAGTTCCACGCATTCTAAGTCGTGTCCTGTGAACGTGATTTCCATGGCCTCGTCAATAGCGCAATGGAAGAGGAAAGGCGACAGCGGGTGCTCAGGTCGCACAGCGCTGGAGAAATTGAAGGGCGAAGACAGCTGGACGTAAGCCATCATTCTACCTGAGTTAAACGCATATAATACTCGGATAACGATTAGATGATTTACAGGTATACCTCTCCTTCCCAGGCAGTTCTAAAGGGTACACCGATGCACCGAATCGAATGCGCCTTTGAATTCGAGGAACACGAAAACGGTGGGCCGCCAGTATATGTGACGGTGCTCTAACGACTGACGCAAAGTTAATGTGTCCTCAATGCAGCTAGCGCTCGACGAAACCCGGCTTGTAATTCACGAATCTGGATTTAACGAATGGCACTCATTCTGTGAAGAATGATGGAGGCAAGCATTTTGGAGGCAATTGAGATCCGACTGATTCATGCATGGTTGCCACATACCGACCGTGAGCCTCTCTTGAAAATTATGACTAGGACGTTGCGACTCCAGTCGTTTTGGACAGTTTCCTGCTCCTACAAGTACACTTGCAGCTCATGAAAATCATCCACTAAAGCAGATCCTCTGAATTTGTAGTGGGCTGGAAGAAGATCATTTGGTCCTGCGGCTTTATTTAACTTCAACAGTATGATCTCACTTTCGAATTCTGAATAAGATTGCGGATCCAAAGGGACAATCCACGGTGCAGCGTGATCACTGGCCGTTGAGAACTTTTAGCATTCGTACCGATTATATTGTCTGCAAAGTGTTCAGCCCGATGCTCCAAACGTCTTGACAATTTGTGGATAAACTGTCCTTACCTCTAACTTATAGTTTCACTAACACCAGATCTCATGCTGTTCGTTTCTCGTAGCAGACGGAATAACTTACGATGGTTATCAAGGGCAGCGGCCATTTCCATGCCTGATGCCGTAAAAGCGGACGATGACATAGTCCAGCACATGAGGGTGATCATACCATGCAGGTTGCTTTGCTCAGCTAACCGTGTGTAATTGCATTGACGTCAATAGCGTAGTGCGCGAGTTCCGTCGCGACCAGTGCCGCGCTTCGCTTGGGTGGCACACTCATGTTCCGGTCGAGCGGTGTGCGCAACTTCCAGCACCCAAAGTTGAGCCATTTGTACGAAAGCACACGATTGCACCAGGCTATCGATCGTGTGGTGATCGGTATTGGAGCAAGTATTGAGTTAGGTTAACTGAGGACGAGGGGAGTGTGTGTGTATAGGAACAAGAAAGAAGGGAGGTGGCAACGGCCTTGCGTTTGCTTACCCAGATCGCTGGGTGTACCAGAAGAGGCGATGCTTTTCCTAAGGCCCTTGTGCGACGGGCGATTCAGAACAGGATTATTCATTCAGGCGATATTTATGTTAATTGTTGGGACTAGGATACGGCCAGACCGTCCATATCTGACAGCGGAACAACTTGGGACCTTAGCCAAAACCGTCGCTAAAATCCACTCCCGGAAACCAGAAAGCCATGCGCTATGAGCCAGGGAACCGCGTCACACAGAATCGTGCTTGTCCTGCCTCGTGGCTAAAATATTGGTTTCACCCATCTCCTCTCAAACGGTCGCCACGAGGAGACTTCCTCGATATCGCGCTTAGGTGGGGCGAGTGTATTATGTTGTACGCGTATGGCATGCGCCAGGGATTTGCTGTATGAAGGTATCCAAATTGGTGGCACAGGATTGTTTGCCAGGTTTCGCAACGGAGCTATATTTGTAGCTAGATTCTTGGCTATACCTTGAAAGCTGGCACACTCCATATGTGCAGAAGTGGAGCCTTATTCCGAAGGGAAACCTTAATCAAGTCTAGACGGCACGACCGCGACCTCTGGGTTACCGGCTTTTCGTACCAAGATAAGTATGCATATAACAGAGAACAGTTATGCAATCCGTGCCGAACTAAAAAAATGTTTGCTTGCGCAGGTCCGTTAATTTTCCTGGACCCAGACGAGCCCAACTGGTGACGGTCGGTAGAAGAGTTCGCATCACGTCTCTGACACGCAAAAACTGTTACTTTGCAATTATGTTTAAGCTGGGAATTCACACGTGATCGCTCAATTGCTGTCGAATACAAGACAGTTTAAGCCAAATAGAGTATAAATTGCTGCATCGAAATAGTGTGTAATAATTTATTTACTTAGGCAATCATCTTTTTTACCCTTATGTAAAATTTGATCAGATCAACTTCCTAGATGTATTATCCGTTCCTCCAGAGATATACTATATACTTATTAGCTCAAGCCTGCAACAATCTTCACATGATATTCTCGGAGAACTCAACTTCAATATCAATTTGTGACGCGAGTCCCATACTACTGTCTACGACATGTTACTTGACAAATTCGGCTCTCAAATTGATTGATTACGCAGTAGGACTTTCATTGCAATGAAAAGCAAGCTCGTATTCTTTGCTAACTCTGATTTGGTTGCTTTAAATTTTGCATTACCTCTGTCGTCTGTTCAGCCATCATCACTTCTTTCTCATCACATATTTTCGTCATGTTACTTCTGCAATGTACAAACTGTTACACGGTTGGGGCGACCACCGCTGTGAACGGCATTTTTAAAATCCATGGTCATATAAACATTAATAATTAAAACGTCACCTATAAACCCATTTTCTGCTGTGTGACGAAACCATCGCGCACATTTTCCGTGCAGTTGCTCGACGCGCAGACGGCTACACCGTTGGCGCAAGAACCACTGTGAAACTGAGAAATTTGGTGGAAGCCAGGGTGCACTATAAACTGGAGTCCACTGCACCCGAATTTTACTATTTCAAGCCTTGCTTTGGTTGCTTCGATGCAAAGCAAGAATCGCTTGTTGATGGTAAGCTAATTTCGAAAAGCCACTGCGTATAGTATTTTTATTGCCTTTTGATTTTTACCACCCGGAAAACCGCAACCATGAGATTATTGTTCGGAGCGTGTTAGAGGGGATCAAGAAGGAAGCTGATTCACATCAACTGGTAAGTGGACTCTTATAATTTCTTTATTCAGCATCACACTCTGTTCCTAGTTGGAGCACGGCAGTCAAGCAACAATTATGACACACAAAGTGAAGTGTATCCCGTGGGTGCATGGAGAACTGGTTATACAACCGAATCACGATCTCATCTTTGAAGGTATTCCCTCATACTGGATTCTTGCTACTTTCGAGGTTCATTTGACTTACCGTTTTCCTCAAATATTTGTCTGACCAACCCTTCGGGGTGTTGGATGAAATTCACCATAGAAACTTCGTCGACTCATATGTCGGTGTTTCCATCTAACGGCGACATAGCACCAGGTAACATGGAGGATTTGCTTGGTAATTCTATTCTGTTCTTCGGTATTATATACTTTCTTCAAAGTAATTCAAAAGCCACTAAAGTCAATCGGTGCCATAGAAAACCCCGATATAATTACTGTATGGGAAGCTTCGTACGTCGATTTACTTGTGGTATGAGTGGTTTGGAACTTCATGTGCTCAATGTCTCTGTTGTTTTACTTGCAGAACAAGATGTGGAAAAAGAGCACAAAAATAAATTGTGTATATATCAAGTCAAAAACTGAGTCTTCCGTAAGTGGACCTACTACAAATATTTTGTGTTGGAGCAACGGATATCTGTCAAATTCACTGAGCTGTGAGATTTGGTTCTGGTAAATTCGATCACATTAGGACCAACAGCCGGATATTACGTTTACACTCACAGAAACATTTATGCGATACGACCGAGACGGCTAATGAGAATTGCGCGGATTAGCCTACATAATCACAACAACAGTTCACTGAGCTTAAATACATGGTATAATCTGCTCACACTAAGCAGTTCATGCTTTCAAACGGAAATTAACTCGCTGCTAACATAGGATTCAGTGCGATTGGTGCGGTATGGTGTCGGTAGATCTGCTTGTTGCGTACATATATCTTTTGCACAATGCGACACAAAGTAGTTCGATTTCTGATTTTAGGTCAATGATTTCCAACAAACAAGAAAGGATTTGCAGGATGTCGATTGAGTCAAGAGCGTTTGAAGCATCACATAGAACCTTCGGATACATAAACTTTAAAGAAGGATCAAGGTTGAACTACTCTGTACCGCTCACCAGCTCTTTTCCATTTATGGTTACACTAAACCACTCTGTAAATTTTTCTCGAAAATCCCGAATTTCTAACTGAATTAACTCGTTTTGTAAATACCTTGACAGCCGCAATGTATATCACGTTCCATCGGATATGGGCTTTTGGGTATTCATATTGTCCGTCTTTGCATCTTTGTCCTGGTTGTGATTGCATTACGGCTGCTTTTAATGGTGCCCCTACTGTTACGCTGCAAAGCGACGAATTTAGTATGAAACGGGAGATGACCAAATATGATTGCGGATACTTTAGACACGGATTGTCAAATCAGAAACAATATAGTAACCGGAATTCGGCCAAACGCCTGACTTGATTAGCTGATGCGCCAAACCCATAGATACTTTATGTACGAAAGGAACGTTTACGACATGAGAATCAAGGGTATCAGTGATACGCTAAGCAGAATGACGTGTCATACCTTGAGGATCAATAAGATCACCAGCCAACAACATCACTTGTAAAATCACTGCATTCGAGAGTGATCGACAAGCGTTGGCTGCCCTAGATATATCATTGCTTTCTGCGTGTCTTATTTGAATACATCCATCTCGTTATCTGGCACATACTAATTTCAGAACATGTCCTAATTATTCCGCCTCCTAGTATGAACACACAAAACGCGCTTTACCGATATTACTACCCTCATAGAGTAGCCAATTGTATTCCGATCGGTACGGTATACACGAAATCGATGACAATTGTGGAGGGATTAGATGTTGCCCTCTCCCGTCCCAGCACTCCACCACCGACGGTTTTGTTCTTGTTTGAACTAAGCAGGAAGAATTAGCCTGGATTGGAGGCGGAACTCAGCGTATAATGTTTGACAATTGCTGTTATGATCACTAGGCGATTGAGCTACGCGAACAGAGTTTGACACATCTCAACTCCCGGTGCTAAACATTGCCAGTTAGGTGAAATTGCCTTATGTCCAAACCATGCTTTTCTGCAAATACACTGATGCTTCCACATTGGGCTACGTATGATTTATTTGACCTAGGATTTTCGAAAGTAAAATTTGAATTAGTTCATCCCGATCTCCGAATGGAGACAAGTGATGAGCATAACCAAAATCCCCGCGTCATCCATCGCCTACTTTTAACGTCTCGATTTAAAGCTATGTGCAGGAGAGTACCACACCTGTTACAGTCTTCACAGCACAGACAAGCATGCCGGTCATAACCATGCGAAAAAGACATGACCACGCGGGTTAACGTGCATTTTGCAGCTCGGGCATATGGATCGATTGATTGCCCATGTGATAAATAGTCACATCCCCGGAAAACCGTGTCTGCGTCTGCCGGTAACGGATGCGTTTCATAGACCAATCCTGGTTCCACTAACATGTGCATCGGTTATAACAATACTACTAATGACAGGAGTTCTTATAGGCAACTTTCCTATCAACTGGGAGGCCGCAACCATATTCGACACAGATTATATATCCTCTGTTAAACTTGAGCTGATCCTTTATTAATTAGATCGTAGATGTACGTTACACGTAGTACAATTTACTTCGCAGCAAGAATTACGAAATACTTTGTAAGGCAGTGCGGTTATTAGTTATTTCCATTGGCATACAATTAGCTCCATTTAAGAAGCAGACAACTGGACAACATATAATGCGGAAGATCAGTGCGTTCCAGCAAGCCCTCACATAAATGGGTGTTTTATCAGGTGTACCTATAACGTTTAGCAAGCAGTGCCGACATAGTATTAGTAGCAGTTATGTTAAACGTATGGCTGCAGTGGTGTTGCTGGGGTCAGTATTTAAAACAACAAGTGCACACTGAGCCTGAGGAAATCGTGCATAACGTGCAAAAAAACCCAAGCTTTCCATTCCCACAGGCGTTTTAGTGACAGAGGAAGAAGCTTACAAATGTTGTGCTATAATAATTTACTTATATTAATGTACACGAAACAACATATTGATGTCTAAAATCAAACTATGTTCAATTGGCCATCGTTGCAACATAAGTTAAGATTTTAGGAGGAAGAAAGTTGTAGCTAGGTGCCTAGTGCATTCTACCTACGTTTATTGTGAACAAGTCACAGAACATCAGACCTTTTACGTAGCTCAACTATTCGTAGTACACGAACAAAACTGGTTTGTTGCGACTTGCCTTATTGCTCCGCGAATTGTACGACGGCAAGAGACACCACATCCATCGAAATGCATGTGGTGACGCACTTTCAACGGAATTTGGTCCCAAACGTGTGTTAACCACATGATGCCATTTGCGCAACTCATCAAAAAGACATGCCAATGATCCTGTAGGTTAATATGTTGGCCGTGAGTAAAACGAATTATTTGACGCCGAAATAGACGGCAACCACATAGCGCTGCGTCGGAATGTCATGTCTGCTACTTTGTCGGCGGCTTGCATGTCTATATTTGCTCGTCATTGTGGCCTCTATAAAACGTCTAAGACTCACCTATCTCGATATCTACATAGTGTGTGTGCTTCTTTTGAAGAGCAACCTTCGCTACTAGGCGTAGGGCGTTTGGTGCATTGCGCGGTGTCCATTCTCAACCAATCGATAGGTCAACATAGCGCACAGTGATCGCAAATCGGCAATTATTTTGGTTTAACCTGACAATGCCAATGGTGAGCAAGACGATGATTTGGACAAGCTTTGCTAACCCGATAAAGTCTGCTACTCCATCGGGATAAAGAAAGCATATCTTTAACTGGACGATGATTCGGGAGCTAGAGTCCGTGACGTTGCTTGCGTCCCTTTGTATTGTTTTAGCGGCGGGTGTTTTGATAACAAGCGCCTCCTTCTCCACAATTTTAGCTACCATTGCGACCCCGGCGACTAACAGACATACCTGACCATAGCAAGACAACTGATTTGCATCTACCAGACCAGAGTTACTATCATTTCACCAAAAGAAGTTCTCGCTTCTCCCTACATTAGGCGTGGACAATTCTTCTAGTAAAACAGGATGCAATATGCTCGATCATTCGTCGTAAACCCGCTTTTGATCTATAACTACAGTCGTATCTGGATTACGACAGTTGATAAAACCACGTAACTGAGTGGAGCTAAGCTTGTGCCTGTGCAGTTCTGGGTTGATACAAAACAGCACGTTCTACTAGGAACGCTCAGATGTTATCTAAGCAGTCCGATTCATCGCATAGTGGCAGTCCCACTGAGGTGAGCACAGGCGCACACTGCAAAAGAGTCACAGAGATATGCGAGATCCGAAACACTAGTACCTAAAACAACTACCATAAACAGGGTCGGCGCGACCGAAACAAAACAGCCGCGAAAGCTTATAAGGCAAAGCATGTCTGTCCACAAGTGAATGGGTATACGGGTGTCACAGAGTAGGAAAACAAAGTTTGGGAATCAGAATTGAATGCGTAAATTTGTAAAACCCAAAAATGCAAAGTCGTAGAGTTTGAACAATGGTTGTCCCGTTCGGATACATATAGACAACAAGTCTTGCTGACCACACGGTACAAGCTAATTCTGTTGTGCTTGGGAACCATTGCTGTGCGTTGCAGTCTGCCCACTGCACTTAGCCGGGTAGTGCAATGCAGCTCTAACACAGTCTTTGGGAGGGATCTCCTCTAAATTTTTAGTTAGGATGACAGACTGAAAATTAGTAAATAGAACGAAATCATTCAAGGTTGGATTTAAAGTACCTGCTGTTGGATTGCTACATGCAATCTATATTAAGACGTAGATACGCTTTAAAATAAATCCTTGGTAATTTCGATCAAAAGGACCGTATCCAAGTTGGAGGTGTTTTGGTGTTGTTCCTCCTAACTCTGACACCCCAACACCGGTTTCGACCTCGTTAGGACTCATCAGATAGAGGTAGCCTGAGCTGAGATGGAACTGGTGGCCACGTATTTAAAGGCGGACGCCTTGCTCATTATGCCCCCGAGACCCGTGAACAACGCTTGTCACAGCGGTAAGGAGGAAATGGTCTACGAGTGATTGGTCGTCACCGAAGATGCTATATTAACTTAGTTACCTTTCAGTTAGAGCAACTAAACACAACTCATTTAATGCAGGAACAAATGTACCAAAGTCCAAAACCTAAATGTATGTTAGAGATGCATTTACTATGGTGCTGGAGAGTTTAAACCATTAATATTTGCAGTGGGCCATATTTGTTTTCCACAATATTCTTCGAAATCTATATGCATCCTGATCAATTTTTGACTTGGATTCAGCCTACACATTCGTTATCCAATATGCATCATCATGTATTTTAACCATCCCATAACGCATATGCTTAGCAGATCCCGTAGTCTGGTCAGAAAATCAATCAGAACAAAATAAAATATGGATCGGAGAACCGACGTGGTCACAGCATCTTAGAAGCAAGGTTGCTGGAATAAGAAAGCAGAGTGTAAAACGTAATAGTAAGTAAAAATTATTAGTGCTCATTGTAAAGAACAATCGGATTGTCAACTCGCCTTCAGAGAATCAAGTGCGCCAACATTAATGCTAATTCCATAGGATCGAAGTGTCATGAACATATATCTGATTAGCCGCTCATGTAAAAAAGTGTAGGGAGATCACTATGACATTTAAGTGCTTTTGGAATAGCGAACTTAGCGGTGACAGTGAACCAAATTTGGAAGGCCGTTCCAAGGTTGTCAAACCTGCAGGGAGAAGCAAGTTCATTTTAATCTAGACCATCGTGTTGTTGACTTTATTTCAAGCTACCGCCTCTCAAGTCTGTGTTCTGCCTGATTTTCAGAAGATAGCGACCTATTTAACTACGATGGTTCAGTTTTGTCATATGATTATACATCGTCCTTTAGTTGTCGCTATCGTCTGCTGAACATTAGGACATATTTCATCAGTTCCTGGCAATTAAGGGCCTCAAAAATTTGATATCTTCTTTTTCTAAGGTTGTGAAGTCCCGAACGCTGCGAGTTTACTTCGCAGCTATGTTTGTAATACTTGTATAGCATAGTCAACGTAAGGGTTCACGTAGTCATTAAACATCAGAGAAATGAACGTGCTGGTCAAATATTTTGAAACCGACTTATGCAGTTTTGTACAACAGCCATCACCATGTGCGAGCATATTGAAGTTTCGTTCCTGAGAGGTGGTCGACAGATGGTGCTCTTAATGCCTGTAACTGTAGTAGTGTCAATGGCGGATGTGAATAACGCG